GGGAAAGCCTCACAAAAACTTCAGGGACCAGCAGCAGAAGCACCTCTCAGCTTGGGAGACACTTCCACCACAGGACACCAGGAAACTTCCTGGATCCTGAGGTGAGAGCATTTCTGGAGGAGAACACTGAAGTCATCAGCAGTGGAAACCTCACACCAGAGATAAGACTGCGGCTTCTGACACCTCGCTGCCGATTCTGGAAGGAAAGAGCCGACTTGTGGCCTTTTGCTGATCCCTTCTGGGCAATCTATTGGCCAGGAGGCCAAGCCCTATCCAGGTACAGAATACAATGACTGCTAGCTTAGTCCGCTATAGGATGTCAGGCTATCTATGGTTTCTATGTCTTTTATAGAAGAAAACTGGACCAGATTCTTTAATCTATTTTACAGTCTTCTAGTCACCTAGAAGTCCTTTGCCAAGCCATGTTTTGGTTTGGAAGTATAATGTCAAGATGCATTTGCTGTTACTTATGCTCAGGGACTGGCTGGTATTCTATTTCTCACACAGAAAGTTTTCATCTCTAAACAGCAGAAATTCGTGAGTAATTTTCTGTTGAAATGAGGAGGGGGGCTTCTTTTTTTTTTTCTTTTTCTTTTTTTTTTGTCCAACAGTCTGCAAGGAAGTAAAAGTGAATGCTTTTTTTAAATGGGAAGAAATGGGACTTTCAGCTAAATTATGATTAGTCTGACATTTAGCAGCGTTAAAAGGCTGCTAAAGATAACATAATTCAATGAGGTCTTCCAGTTAATTGAATCTTCACATTTCATTATCAGATGGTTCCTCCTTTGCCCAAATGTTTAGGTTGCAATGCTAATTAATTTCCTGGAATCCCACCAGCAGATTCTTAGTATTATTTATTTTGCTGTTTTGAATTAATTGGGAATTTCAGAAATTAGTTGCACTATTTGAAAACCTGACAACACATGGAAAATATGCTGCTGCCACAACTTTTTGTTTTTTCTGCAATTACTTTCCATCACTACATGAGAACTCTCCTTTCCAAACTACCTGGCACAGTGTAACCTGAGATGCCTTATTAAGCTAGCGTGGCAGACAACTGTCTCCAATGCCAGCCATGTGACCTATTTCCACGCTGGGGTAGAATTTAGATTCTGTCGTTTCAAGTAAACATGACCATTACAGGAAATTTGAGAACCGCTCAGTTGGAATCAGGGCACTTAAAAAAAAAAAAAAAAAGTGCTGGGCCTGATCATTCTCTTCACCTGCACAACTCAGGGGGGAGCGGGGGTCCATATAAACCCCAGTAGAGTACAAGGTTTGCAAAGGGGAAACCACACATTATTGCGGCATGTTCTCCCACCCTTCTTCTGGAAGTCTCTCCATCTGTCAATCGTAGTTGCTCCTGAGATGACAATGCTGCCATTGGGGAAGGGTGCCAAGCAACCCCAGGGTATCCAGGCTTTGACATAAACACCCTTGCCCTTTGTTGGTGGTCTCCGAGCTACAGATTCTCCTTGTCAGTCTCATACATCTGTATGTGAGGAGGGTTAGGCAATCAGGACTCGCAGTAGAGATGATATCTTTTATTAGACCAACAAGATTTTTGCAAAACAATTTCTGTAATTGCAAGCTTTCAGGCACAAACACCCTTCATCGGGCTTTGGAGAGAAGATTGTAAAAGTTCTTCTGGGTAAAAATGAAAGTTCATATTTCATCGGATTTCACAGAGGAGTCAATAGATGGAAAACTCTCACTGCTTGTATTGTTGTAAAGTCCACCTTCCAACAGCAGAATAGCATGAAGAAGTCCCTTGGCATAGGACTTCTGCCTGTTGTTAATGGTCATAACTCCTCTGAAGTGATGGCAGTTTACGTGAGAGGCTGCTCCAAAACCCCCACAACTCAAGAATAATCATGACTCACTGCCCAGGGGATTAGGAGGCTTCCCGCCCTGCCCCCCACCATTGTTAGTTTACTTTATAATTTCCCCAGTCACTCATCAGAAGCTGTTTCAGCAGAGCATCAACACAGGCCTTTTAAAAAATCCCAAATGATTGCTTTATTTTATTGTATAAAATGTGTGGTGAGACTTGCATGAATGACCTCTCTCCTGGGTAATCAGTCCTAATGGTTGGGGCTCAGGTCACGAATCAGAGCCGAGAGGTCAAGGTGAAGGTGAGGGTTAGAAACCAGGGCAAGAGTTGGGGGCAAGGCAAATGCAGACCCAGAGAAACAAGGCCTTGAAGCAGTTGGAGAACTGAGGGGCTGCAAGCCATGAAGCAGACAGGTTAACTGGAGGGACTGGGATTTTACCTTGGACCCAGCCACTTGTAGCCTATGCAGCAGTCAGGCACAGATGGAGCTAATCAAGGGTGAGGTGTCCACGTTTAAACCTCTGGCTCATGCATATCAGCAGACCTAGAGTTTCTTCTAAGAACATCTGTACTCAAGCCAACGGTTTTAACTTTATTACTATTTATTACCTACAACTTTCCTATTCCCTACTTTTAGTGGCACATTTCACAGCCACTTTCCTGGTGTCATCCATTTATTACTTTAATTCAACTGAGAGAATGAGAGAATTATCTGATTGACTGAAATGAAGCATTTTGGTTGCTTGTTGTTTTCTCTTACTTGGTGCACCCTCTGGTGGCTTCTGATGCTCTCTCACACACATATACACGTGTCTGTATGACGGATAGTGTGCAATTAATTACATGTATTGGATATCTTTTGAATTAATCTCTGCACTATTACATCTATGAAACAAGTTTCTTGGAAAACTTCATATGGAAACTAGATACTTGCCCAGCCTTCTTTTTGATGTTTCAACCATTTACCTCCTTAACTCAGATATATTTTAGATAATCCGAATATTGTCAGAATGGGATCTGTATTAGATCTTGGGAGTGGATGTGGAGCAACAGCAATAGCTGCCGTGATGAGTGGTGCATCCCATGTCCTCGCTAATGACATCGATCCTAGTAAGACGCTTGTTTCCAAGTGCTGCACAAGGAAGTTATTAAGTATGCACGAAGAGTAGTTTGCCTTTAACATGGTTGCAAAAATTAAGTTTCCATGTTGAAAAATGCTAAAAAGATATATGGTTGTGTGTAATGCTTGTTTCCAGCAGGATCAGTTGTGCTCTGTTTGCAAACATTAAGGGCTAGAGGTTGCCACACATTGCATAAAAGTCTTATTGCCATGAATGGAAGACCAGACTTCTTCCTGTATTGTCCCTTGCAACACATCACAGCTATTTTGGAAGGCCACCTCTGGGGATATGTAGGTGGATGGATTCTATGCCTGATCATCCCTTGGAATTTCTGCCAAGCGTGCCAATTTTAATGATGCTATTTAAAAGTCAGTTCTGCTTATTACAGCTGCATTTCCTGCACTGTTTTTCAGTCTCTAGAACAGACTGAACAGAACTATACTGCCTTTGATTTGTAAGAAAAGTTAAGCCCTCAAGAAGTTAAAGTTGATGTAGAGAATTTAAAAGTTAAGAGTTTAAGCAGGAAACATTTCATAGTTTAGCTATGTCTGAATGTTTGGATCCCAGTCCCTTCTATAGGCACTTGATTCTGGTGCTGAAGTATGGATTATATCCTCATGTTCCCAGATATGCACACCTAGATACCTACCTAAATGAAGGCATCCACTTGTGAATTTTGGCTTTTGTTTTCAGTTGTTTTTACTTAAGAACAAAAGACTCAAAGAGTTTTATTATAAATTTCTTTTAAATGGATCATACTGAGCTGCCCCTTTGAGAGCCAAATTAATCCTTAGCATAACTGACTTCAGTGACGTTGCACCAAGAATTTTTCTTTGCTCATGTGTTTACGTTTTAGCCAGAATTTTTCCAGCTGCTATTTGGCTAACAGTGATTCAAACCATCTGTTTTCTCCTAAATGCCACCTACTTTTTTATTGTTAGTTACTTATTCTTTGAAAAAGAAAGAAGCTGTCTAATGATTAAAGCACTGGTCTGAGAGTTGGACATCTGACTTCAATTTCTTGCATGACCTTAAACAAGTCACTTAATCTGTGCTGTCCCTCAGTTCTCATCTGTAAAATGGGAATACATTTCTTCCCTACCTTATGGAAATGCTGCAGGGATAATGTGTGTCAGTGTCTGTGAGGTGCTAGGCTACCACCATAAGATATAGAAATAATATGAATAGCACTAATATTTAAAGAGATTATTCAAACTAAGACTTGTGGAAAATCCTCAGAATTTACTAATATAGAGGGGTTTGAAGCACAGCATTCTAAATTCATTCTTATTGATCATATTTTTCTCAGTTGCAGGAATGGCCATGGTCATCAATTGTGAACTGAACAATGTGAATCCCTTTCCTATTGCAATTAAGAACATCACTGATACAAAACTAGACAAGTGGGACCTCATTGTGTTAGGGGATATGTTTTATGATGAACATCTTGCTGACTGTCTGCATCACTGGTTGGGGAAGTGCATCAAGATGTATGGAACTAAAGTTCTGATCGGTGACCCCGGGAGACCTCAGTTTACAGGCCACAGCATTCACCGTCAGCTGCACAAAGTGATAGAATATTCACTTCCTGAGCCAACTAGACGAGAGAACAATGGATTAACATCAAGCATTGTCTGGAGTTACCAGCCTTGACTCGCAGTTTCTTCAAAGGCTGCTAAAGGTGGAAAGAGCTTGTACTTGATGGGGGGTTGGGGGAGGGAGTATTCTATATTTATAAAATGTGAAAAAAGAACATAAGTCAGATTCTTGGCTAATGTAACTTGGTCTAGTTCTACGGAAGTCAATACCACTACTTCATCTTAGAACAATGGAAGATTTGGCCCCTAGTTTAGGGAAAAGCTTGCAGGTAAATTTCACTCTCAGATAAGCACACAGGCCTCAATCCAAGTGCATCTCCAAAGGCAGTTTTAGGTCCATCATTTTGCTTATACGATAAATGTACCAGCTTCTTTGTCACAAAACATGTCATTTAATATTTCTTAAGATTTCCACTATAAAACTTTATTTGTCCTGTAGGTAGGCACACTACTCTCATGTGTGTTTCTTATTCACATACACTGAAAAAAAAAATCAACATTAGGCTTCTTAAAACAGAACATGTGAATTTGTTAGGTCATTATATAGTTGGGGAGAACCTGGACTGACCCAGGGTAGTCCAAATGTATCCTCCTCTTATTTTTTCTCTCTCCTCGTGACTGTCCATATAACTAATCAGGTTTTTCTTCCCATCTCATTCCAAACTATATGTCTGTATCCTGGTACCTTCCTTGAATCTCCTGAGGCAGCCAGGGCTGTCAGTCAAGAACAACGCATGGTCCTGAACTCACTTCTTCATCTGGCCAGAGCTAAAATGACTAATCTGATTAATAAACTGAACAGACTGTGAACTAAACAGTAATATGATTAGAGACTAATTCATGTGGATTTTGAAAAACAAACTTTGTCCATATCCTCTGAATACACAGGAAGGGCAGGGTTGATGGGGATCTGTCACAGAGAAAAAAAGATTCAAGGTAATTTCTTTTTTTCCCCTTGAGACAGCCATTTCACTGACCTTTCTGCTTAGGATGTAATAAAGCAAAAGATTAAGGGGGAGGAACTGTGTCAGAGAGAAGATAGGATAATAGGCTACTTGCAGACATTAAAAAAAAAAAAACACTACAAAAGCCCATTAAAGCACCCGATTTATACAGATGTCAGGTGAGCCAGATCCAACTAACACACCGCCTCTTCTGGACACGTGCTTGGCTCGGTGCAGGAGCACACTGAGTTTATAACACCACTTTTTTTTTTTTTTTTAATGTCTGTAAGGAGCCATAGAAATTCAGTGTATAGTCAAGCAGAATAGTGGTTTCACTCAGCTTTCCAAAACTGATTAGAATCCACTTGTGTGTGTCCGGTGAAGGTAAGTATTCTCGGCTATGTGGCTGCTTCACAAATTTCCTTTGCCCATGCTTAGGTTATTTTGGTGTAAGATGTAGTAGTCAATCCAGCAGTATGCCTACGGTTCCTGTGAGGGATTTTATTTCCTCTTTGTACTCAGAGTGTAAGTCGTTTGGGCAGGCACCATATATTTGTTTGGTGTTTGTACAGTACCACAGCAACAGGATCCTAGTCTGACTGGGACTCTTTCCTGCAAAGATAATACAAATCGTTAATAATTTCAATTCTGCAATTTCATATCTAATTGGACATAAAATTCTTTCTGTCTCCCTGTCCCTAGGCTGAATGTGCCGGAGTAAGAATGATTTGGTCCTTTTACTATACATTTTAATAATACTGCAGAATGCCTCAGTGCTATCTTTTTTTCAGGCTGGGGTCAAGGTAGAAAGACTGGTCCGCTATGTTTTGGAATTGATGGTAAGCTGTTTTTGTCTTTCAAATTAATTCTTCAGTTATCCTGCAATAAAGTGGTCTTAGGCATAATATTTTTTCCCAGGAAATCTTTTTCCCTGGAAAACCTAAAGAAAATTCTGGCCAAAGATGAAGTAGCAGGTCTACAACCATGCTTTTCTCCTTGACAGCTGTAGCTTCTCAACAGTTTGCAAGGAAGCAACCTGACCTATTAGGAAGTATTTGCTGACATACCAACTTGAAAGGGAATTTTCAAAGCAGCCCAGCTCTAAATGAGCAACCCTATGATGATTTAATAGATTTCATAGACATTAGGGCTGGTATGGACCTCGGAAGATCACTGAGTCCAGCCCCCTGCCCCACTAGGCAAGTGCCATGAAGGATTTATGGCTGAAAGAGGAAAAAGGTTTCAATTTCAAGCTTCCAAATAGTAACTACAAATGATGGTTTAAAAAGAGGGCTGAAAGTGTGTGTAGGTGTATGAGAGAAGCATTTTGAGCCGAGTCAGAGTAGCTTACAGGCATAAACTTGCCAACTCAATCCAGTTTAAAGATTTACTGGTTTTGATTTTCAAAACAATACAGAAATACTTACAAATACATACATGCAGTACTCATTTTCACAGTGTGTTACTCAACACTGTACAACAGGGACAATAACTAGAAGTACTATATAACATGAAGAATTAACCACATCTTCATATGGTGCATACTAGTATGCTATTTTTCCATTCCACCTCACATTTGCAAACACAAGAAGCCTGATTTTAAATAAAGAATCATTCCTGATGGCAGTGGAGTTACACTGCAAAAAACAACCCCAAAATAAAAAAACCCCTCAAAACAAAACCTCATGAGATCAGAATCAAGCTCCAAAGATGAAAATGCAAATGACACATCAAGCTTTCAAAGAAGAACCCTAAGGACAGGGAAATGTCATTCAAGGAGATTTGTTCATCTCAGTGTGCAGGCATTTATGTATAAAACAAGTTGAGAATATCCCACTAAATTGAATATTCTAGAAGTGGTTAACAGACAACAAAACAGCTGCATGCAATATTCAAAGGTGAATGTAAGCTGTATCATCCTTCAGCATGACATACAGCTCAGTTAACAGAAGAAAGAGTAGTGTATAATTCCAAATCAAATTCATAAAAGTTAACAGCATTTCTGTGCCACTAGGAACAAATACATTTTCCCTTCCCTGCAAATCACTGCTTCTTTGTTAAAGCTATGAGGAACTCCCATTTTTGGCTGCCTTATACTTTATGCTGTCCATCCTTAGGGTACTATAGTACAACTTTCCACTCTGGCTCAGGGGCAGGTGAAGCAGCATTCTTGCAATAGTTACACTGTAGCTGTTTTTTCCTTTTGGAAGCCCTGGTTTGTGCAACCACTGCTGCTTGTGCCTTATTGACTAAACATCTTGAGCCTGTCAGTGCTGCATTTTAATCAGTTGAGATGGTTCAGTGGTTGCAAAAATTAAGTTTCCATGTTGAAAAATGCTAAAAAGATATATGGTTGTGTGTAATGCTTGTTTCCAGCAGGATCAGTTGTGCTCTGTTTGCAAACATTAAGGGCTAGAGGTTGCCACACATTGCATAAAAGTCTTATTGCCATGAATGGAAGACCAGACTTCTTCCTGTATTGTCCCTTGCAACACATCACAGCTATTTTGGAAGGCCACCTCTGGGGATATGTAGGTGGATGGATTCTATGCCTGATCATCCCTTGGAATTTCTGCCAAGCGTGCCAATTTTAATGATGCTATTTAAAAGTCAGTTCTGCTTATTACAGCTGCATTTCCTGCACTGTTTTTCAGTCTCTAGAACAGACTGAACAGAACTATACTGCCTTTGATTTGTAAGAAAAGTTAAGCCCTCAAGAAGTTAAAGTTGATGTAGAGAATTTAAAAGTTAAGAGTTTAAGCAGGAAACATTTCATAGTTTAGCTATGTCTGAATGTTTGGATCCCAGTCCCTTCTATAGGCACTTGATTCTGGTGCTGAAGTATGGATTATATCCTCATGTTCCCAGATATGCACACCTAGATACCTACCTAAATGAAGGCATCCACTTGTGAATTTTGGCTTTTGTTTTCAGTTGTTTTTACTTAAGAACAAAAGACTCAAAGAGTTTTATTATAAATTTCTTTTAAATGGATCATACTGAGCTGCCCCTTTGAGAGCCAAATTAATCCTTAGCATAACTGACTTCAGTGACGTTGCACCAAGAATTTTTCTTTGCTCATGTGTTTACGTTTTAGCCAGAATTTTTCCAGCTGCTATTTGGCTAACAGTGATTCAAACCATCTGTTTTCTCCTAAATGCCACCTACTTTTTTATTGTTAGTTACTTATTCTTTGAAAAAGAAAGAAGCTGTCTAATGATTAAAGCACTGGTCTGAGAGTTGGACATCTGACTTCAATTTCTTGCATGACCTTAAACAAGTCACTTAATCTGTGCTGTCCCTCAGTTCTCATCTGTAAAATGGGAATACATTTCTTCCCTACCTTATGGAAATGCTGCAGGGATAATGTGTGTCAGTGTCTGTGAGGTGCTAGGCTACCACCATAAGATATAGAAATAATATGAATAGCACTAATATTTAAAGAGATTATTCAAACTAAGACTTGTGGAAAATCCTCAGAATTTACTAATATAGAGGGGTTTGAAGCACAGCATTCTAAATTCATTCTTATTGATCATATTTTTCTCAGTTGCAGGAATGGCCATGGTCATCAATTGTGAACTGAACAATGTGAATCCCTTTCCTATTGCAATTAAGAACATCACTGATACAAAACTAGACAAGTGGGACCTCATTGTGTTAGGGGATATGTTTTATGATGAACATCTTGCTGACTGTCTGCATCACTGGTTGGGGAAGTGCATCAAGATGTATGGAACTAAAGTTCTGATCGGTGACCCCGGGAGACCTCAGTTTACAGGCCACAGCATTCACCGTCAGCTGCACAAAGTGATAGAATATTCACTTCCTGAGCCAACTAGACGAGAGAACAATGGATTAACATCAAGCATTGTCTGGAGTTACCAGCCTTGACTCGCAGTTTCTTCAAAGGCTGCTAAAGGTGGAAAGAGCTTGTACTTGATGGGGGGTTGGGGGAGGGAGTATTCTATATTTATAAAATGTGAAAAAAGAACATAAGTCAGATTCTTGGCTAATGTAACTTGGTCTAGTTCTACGGAAGTCAATACCACTACTTCATCTTAGAACAATGGAAGATTTGGCCCCTAGTTTAGGGAAAAGCTTGCAGGTAAATTTCACTCTCAGATAAGCACACAGGCCTCAATCCAAGTGCATCTCCAAAGGCAGTTTTAGGTCCATCATTTTGCTTATACGATAAATGTACCAGCTTCTTTGTCACAAAACATGTCATTTAATATTTCTTAAGATTTCCACTATAAAACTTTATTTGTCCTGTAGGTAGGCACACTACTCTCATGTGTGTTTCTTATTCACATACACTGAAAAAAAAAATCAACATTAGGCTTCTTAAAACAGAACATGTGAATTTGTTAGGTCATTATATAGTTGGGGAGAACCTGGACTGACCCAGGGTAGTCCAAATGTATCCTCCTCTTATTTTTTCTCTCTCCTCGTGACTGTCCATATAACTAATCAGGTTTTTCTTCCCATCTCATTCCAAACTATATGTCTGTATCCTGGTACCTTCCTTGAATCTCCTGAGGCAGCCAGGGCTGTCAGTCAAGAACAACGCATGGTCCTGAACTCACTTCTTCATCTGGCCAGAGCTAAAATGACTAATCTGATTAATAAACTGAACAGACTGTGAACTAAACAGTAATATGATTAGAGACTAATTCATGTGGATTTTGAAAAACAAACTTTGTCCATATCCTCTGAATACACAGGAAGGGCAGGGTTGATGGGGATCTGTCACAGAGAAAAAAAGATTCAAGGTAATTTCTTTTTTTCCCCTTGAGACAGCCATTTCACTGACCTTTCTGCTTAGGATGTAATAAAGCAAAAGATTAAGGGGGAGGAACTGTGTCAGAGAGAAGATAGGATAATAGGCTACTTGCAGACATTAAAAAAAAAAAAAAAAAAACCGAACAAGAAAAATCGCTTTACCAGAAGGATCCGTGCGTTACTTCAGCCCAGCTCCGCAGTGTCTATATAGATTGGGCACTTTAGCGGGGCTTTTTGGCACTTTTAGCTAAAGCTGATTCAATCAGCTATTCGATAAAAGCACTACAAAAGCCCATTAAAGCACCCGATTTATACAGATGTCAGGTGAGCCAGATCCAACTAACACACCG